ACAGGCGCATCCGTAGCCGTCATGAAGCGTATAGTGAAGATCCACTATACGCTAGAAGATACCCAACATGACGATGACTTTATCGTATTGGATTTGGATGACAAATTTGATGTCATCCTTGGAATACCGTGGCTCAGAAGGTACGAACCACGAGTAAACTGTCAACATCTAACAGTAACGATGCCTGCCGCTTGTTCATCAGATGGCCATCTGATGAACCTTTTGGAGCGTCCACAAGCGTGTGGATGTACTACGAGTGAGTGCGATGGCCTCACTTGTGGTACGGTCGTTAGTACAACTGCACAAAACCTTAGTGTACCAAACGGTTACACTTCGGAACAAAGTTCCGGCGGCTGTGAGGAAACGCAGGCTGCGCCGAAGGTCCACCACTCGAATAAGTCGGGTGGACTGGGACAAAGATGTATCCCTAGCGGGGAACATCTAGAAGAGAAACGATCGATCGCCCAGGTTAAGCGAAACGATAATCCTAGATCGACTGGAGAGTCTTTCGTAGAGGATCTCGCTGTGGTTGCGCAACCCCAGCTAGAGGAAGTAAAGGGAATAAGTCCCAAGATTACAAATACGGCGGAAATAAGTTCCCCGAAACCTGCGGGAATAAGTCCCCGGGAAGCCGAAGGAATAATTCCTTCGAAGCCTGAGGGAATAAGTCCCCAGGAAATGACAGAGACATTGAATGTCATAGTCAATAACGGATCAAGTGTAGGCGCTTATACACTTGATCTGATTGCGCCTCCGAAGTTGACTTCGGAGATCACTCAGTTGCCAACGCTCGAACAAAAAAGGTTCTTGCGTGATCTGCGTAGTGGCAAAGTCAAGCAGATCTGCGTACTCGTCGCTGACGACGAGTGTGTAGCCGACATAAGGTCAGCAACAGTGTTTACTGAGAACGAGAGAGTTCTCAGTAGTTCATCTATGGACGAGAGTGTCCTAGATGAAAAGACACGAATTGAGCGATATGACTCCCAATCATGGGAATCGCTCAAGCCAAATTCCCTCTATAAAGATTTGGTTGAATTCAAGGATGTATTCCCTGAAACTGTTCCGTGCGAATTACCGAAGGATAATGGTATTCGACACAAAGTCGAGCTTAAACCAGGCTCGAAGTACTGTGTTATGAAGCAGTGGCCACTGCCTCGTGAGCAATTACTTGCGATCGACAAGTTCTTTGCCGATCGTTTAGCTGCGGGCCATGTGAGGGAATCAACTTCCCCACATAGCTCTCCGACCTTCTGTGTGCGAAAAGCAACAGGAGGGTGGCGGATAGTGCATGCATTTAACAAGTTGAATGCTGCAACGTTACCGGCTCAGACGCCGATACCGAGGAAGGACGCAATCATTGAAGGTATGTCAAAGAGTACCATATTTTCGTCCATGGATTTGATGGATGGCTCCTATCAAATCCTTATGCGAGAACGGGACATACCCTATACCGCAGTGAGCACGCCTAGCGGCATGCTCCGGGAATGGCTAGTAATGCCACAAGGGCTCAGTAATGCCCCTGCCACGTTCAACAGATGTGTATCACATCTGTTGAGACCAGTACGAGAATTCGCGCCGAGTTATTTCGATGACGTATTCATCCATAGTCGGGCTATGGATGGAAAGTCGGATGTTGAGGTTACAAGTACCGCGTCCGACAGGTTCTTACAATCATGCGAAAGCATCAATTGTATGCAAACCTCAAGAAGTGTATATTTGCCGCAAGCGAAATACCACTTCTTGGGTGCATCGTTGGTAAAAATGGTGTACGTCCTGATCCCGAAAAGATCAAGGCGATCACCGACTGGCCTGTGCCGGTTGATGCCAAAGGTCTTCGAAAATTCCTTGGGCTAGCGGCGTATTTGCATAAGTATTCACGCAATTACGCCGAGATGACTGTGCACCTCTCTCGTTTATTGAAAAAGAACGAGAGGTGGTTATGGAACGCTGAATGTCAGCGCTCCTTTGATGGTATCGAGCAGAGCTTGATACAATCCCCAGTCCTAGCAATAGCCGATCAGGACAGGCCATTTCATGTGGTCTGGGATGCCAGCGATTTCGCAATCAGCTGTGCATTGATGCAGCACGACGTTGAAGGCGTTGAACGCGTCGTCTGCTATCAGTCGCTTCAGCTGCAACCAGCTGAGCGGAACTATCCAGTGCATGACAAGGAACTCCTTGCCATGAAGTATGCACTCGCGAAGTTCAGAGTCTATCTATTAGGAGATAGACCCTTCATTGTTTACACTGACCATGCGTCATTACGCACGGCAGTGAACAGCCCGCACCTTTCACAACGAATGGCGCGGTGGTTGTCATTCTTTGCAGAATACAACTTTACGGTCGAGTACAAACCAGGACGACTTAATTTCGTCGCTGATGCACTCTCACGTCGTCCCGACTTTGAACCAGTCGTGAAACCCAACAGTGAGACAGTCACTTTTGCGGTTATGACGTCCTCAGTCCCATCTACAACGTTGTATGATGATGTGAGGCGGGCATACGCCCAAGATGGTGAGATTGTGAAGTTGTTGTCACATCTCTCACAGCCATCTCGAGAATCGTTGAAACGATTGTCGTCTGTGTATCGATCTGCATCAGATCGATACACCACTCGCAATGGTTTACTGTATTATACAGCCGTTTCTGGTGACACACCACGTGTTGTCGTTCCAGATGATACTGATCTGCGTTTGCGGATCATGTTCGAGTATCACGATGCTCCTACAGGAGGACATCGTGGCCGGGAGAACACATATCTCACGGTGAGTCGAGACTTTTACTGGCCCCGCCAGTATCAGTTTGTGCGAAAGTATGTTCGCGCATGCGAAGTCTGTCCACGAGTGAAGTCAAGTCCTTCACTGCGTGCACCTTTACAGCCTCTACCGGTTCCGGCTGAGTGCTGGGAATCCATCTCAATGGATTTCGTCTTCGGGTTACCGAAAGACGCACGCGGGAATACGGGTATTCTCGTATTTGTTGACAGATTCAGCAAAATGGTACACCTTGTGGCTGTACCAGAGACAATCACGGCAAGTGGCTGTGCTTGTGTCTTTATTGACACCATCTTCCGACTTCATGGGTTTCCCCGTGAACTCGTATCAGACAGAGATCCACGATTTACCGCTGATTTCTGGCGTTCCGTGTTCAAATCACTCGGAACGCGCTTGAAGATGTCGACATCTGATCATCCAGAGTCAGATGGTCAGACGGAACGTGCCAATCGTGTCCTTGAAGAAATACTTCGAGGATACGTACACTCCTTTAAGAGTTGGAGTGAGTTTTTGCCAATGGTAGAGTTTGCCATCAACAACTCGGTGCATGCGTCCACGACACATACACCGTTTTACGTGAACGGCTTGCGCCATCCGCGTGTACCCACCTTACTAGAGTGTAACTCTGGTTTAAGGGGGGAGGGACTCGCGCGAGCAAAAACCAATTTGGTTCACACTCATCACGCTCTGACGAAGAGGTCATTGCGTTTAATGCCGATATCGATAACATCGATGTCGAAGAAGATGATGCCAGTGAGAGTGCGGAAGCCCTCACTGAAGAAAAGATGGATGTTGCTGCAGTGCGCTCACAGCGCACTGAAGCTAACGAGTCAGCAGATGAGTTCGTACTGGCTCGTGAAACGGTAGTCCGTTATGTGCAAGATATCATCGCCGAAGCGGTGGATAACCAAAAGCAAAACGCTGACAAGAATGGAAGGGCAAACACTCTTTTATTTAGTAAAGGTGACTTAGTCCTACTGTCTACGGTTAATGTACCAAAGCATGTAGTGACTAACTTGGGTAGCAGTAAACTACTACCCAAGTACATTGGCCAATTTCGTGTATTGCACCGCCTAGGCAATGCATACACGATCGAGTTGCCACGTAAGATGCGAACGCATCCCACGTTTTACGTTGGTCGGCTTAAGCCGTACCATCAGTACGCTGCTTCTTCCGATGAAGAACGCCCTTGCGCTCAAGCATCTCGCAGAGAGCCTTGTGCTCCCGATGGTGGGCATCGACAAGGGTCTGAAGAGCAGTTATCTCAGCCCGAGACCGATCAACAATCCCACGAGCTACCCTTAGCTCGTCACGAAGAGACATCAGAGCTCTCTCGTTCTCAAGCTGAGCAAAGGCAAACTCAGCTCGATGCTTCAAGACAGTGTCCGCCATTTAGAGACGCCTGTCCCGCTCATAATCGAGATCGTTGCGTAACCCTTGCGTTACGCGATCAAAGAAGCTCTCGGGAACACACCGATCCACATGATCGTGTGGAGAGCGTCTTTCCTCCTCCTTCACCTCCATTAGAGGACTCTCGCGGTGGCCAGCGCTATCTAGTTGAGCAGCTGTTGAACCACCGCGACGTGAACGGACGTCGGACGAGTTATCTCGTCCGGTGGCGCGGCTATTCCCCGTCCTGGGATTCTTGGGAGCCCCGCTCCCATCTGATGATTGACGTACTGGGTTTGGTTGAGCAGTACGACGCGGCACATCCTGTGCCGCAGAAGGACCGCCGGAGAAATTCTTCCCGGCACGGTCGTAAAGGGATTTCAGGTTGTCAATCCCTTCGTAAATCTCAGTAGAGACACGTACGCGCCACCACGGGCTGGTAAGGAGGTAAGCCTCCTTAGGTGCTCGTGCAGAGTTGTTCACACAACAAGGGCACGAGTCTACCCAGGAGAGGCAGGGTAACCCTTTCTCCCTAGACAGATGATGCAGCTTGTAGCGTGCACCTGTCGGGGTTCTATTTTCAAACTTATCACGAGCTTTGATAAGTTTGTCGTTCCAAACGTCACGACCTACATCATCAAGGTTATGGATGTAAGTGTTCCACGCTTGAAGCAGTGAGGGACCATCACGCTTGTGATTCCCACTGTACCATCGATGTTTAAAGAAAGCATCGATGGAGAATTCATGTTCGGCGCGATAGTTCTTCGCACTGGGGTCGAGGTGATGAATCCTTGACGAATCGAACAACCGTGTTCGATAGCAATCACTCGTCGTCGCCTACAAGTGATCCATGACGGATTTTGGAGGCATCCATGCCTTCTTCTCAGGAGCGAGACGCAACACGTTGCGGTCCCGCTCTTCCTGCGACGTGCCGACAGAAGGACTGGCACCTCGTTGCGAAGTGGTGTCCATAGGAGAACCGACACCACTGTGAGCGCCTGAGTCTTGCGATCTCGAGCGCCTTCGCTTTGGGCGATGGTTCATCTGATTCTTCAGATAAACCAAAGATGCTACGACGCATAGCATTATCCATGCCGCGCTTGGCAGGCGGCTTGGATTCGATCGCCGTCGAAACGGATCCGTCTTCCGTATCAGGAGAGTATGAGACACCGAGCTCATACTCTGTGAAGACATGAGTGTCTTCATGACCAGCGCTTGCATCACCAAGTGACACAGGCTGAGTCGCTTCAGCAACCGATGAGACATCAGTTGCTGTTGTTTCTGCTTCGGCGTCTGCACAGAGATGTGCAGACGCGCTCTCGGCGGCCTTGCTCGCGCATCGCATGGGCTTGTTAACCATGCGATGAGATGTTGGAAAGTGGACTCGAACCAACAAGTGCAAACCCTGTCCCAAATGATTTGGGACGAGTATCCATTTAGTCAATCAGTCACTAAAGTGACTGACGGTTAAGGGGGAAGTGATGTAACGGGGTGAATCGTCACATAACATTTTATAAGAAATTGTTAATAGAATATAACTATAAGAGTTATGTTCTCAGAATTTTGTCATAAGGACAAATATTCTGCAGCACTTACGAGTAGTTCCTAATTGGTTGATATAGACCATTATATCAACCAACGAAGACGCGCCACGACAGACGCACGCAATGAGTGGTGAGCAGATAATTGATTTACACATTTGTATTTAGACATAGTTAGGTGAAGATAAATAGTGATTTATTGCAGACATTAACTATACTAAATACAGTTCTACTTTTTACTTTAACCAAGTACTCGCTTCTTCTTACCGTCTTCCTCTGCACGTACGAGTGTACGTGAAGTTACGAGGCACCGCCTTATTCTGTCATCAGAAAAAGTAGCTTGTACTGTCATCAGCACAAGCTTCAGGGTGCCCCGTTACAGTTTTGGTCTATGCGAAACGATAACTGCTGCGAGTAAACCGTGGCCACAGCAACGACGCGTGTCGTAGGTTGTGAAGTCCACTAAAATATTTAAAGCCCGTCGAAAGGTGTATGTACGACCATTGAGGTGTCGAGGACACGTGTCTTACACGTGTCAAGCCGTAAATGATTTTCCTATTATACACATGAAATAGTTATCGATAAATTTAAATGCACAATATACATAGCACCAGTGTTTTACACTCACTTCAAAACGTCAATCATAAAAAATAGGAAAAGTTACGATAACTAAGTACGTCAGTCAGGTCTCATAATTGTAAAACCTTTTTCTTCGATACGACCAAACCAAATAACGCATGATTCCGAAACTATTCATTCTCGAATGCCGCACAGTCAAATAACACGGTCGTCAATTTTAAATTCAATTTGGACAAAACATCGATCTCTAACCGTCATTTTATGTGCGTCGCCCCGTCCTGACCTTCCTTTTGCATATCGCACGACTGTGTGAGATGTAACGGGGGGCTTCCGTTACACGATACTGTATATAAAGAAAATGTCAAGTAGGAATAGTACGTAAGGACAAAAAGGATATTCTCAGGGCATTCCCTTAACATTTAATGTCGTGTTGCAGAAGTATTACACTAATCGTTGGTTGATACAGGTGATCGCAATTAACCATGAGCCGAGCCACAACCGAAGAATATAATGGGTGGTGAGTATAAAGTTGTGGAGTGGGTTCTCGAAACCTCGTGTTGAGCCTTCAAATCACTCACTGCGCCGGACTATTGACTTAGGGGGGTACCTTGATTCCGCGTTTGGACCTTAAATTACCTTGTGTACCCGTCATCTGGTAGGTCGCAATCGTCAGGGCACCGGTCGCTTGTAATGTCCTAGTACAAGCTACTTACACTGAACACAGAGTAAGGTGGTGCCTCGAGACTTCACGTACATGCGTCGTGCAGAGGAAGGTTTCAACACGAGAAAAGGGGTACAGTAGAATCGTATTCAGCTAGGTTAACTTTCTGTTAATATATAATCTATCAGGTCTTCATTAAACTTTATTTTCATACAAAGATGTATTGTAACTATCTACTCACTACTCATCGCGTTGTTCGGTCGTAGCTCGGCTTTATTGCTTGGTATCAATAACCTTCATCAATTAGCGAACAGTGTGCAACTTATGCAACATAACATTACTTATTTAGACAAGGTTATAAGAATATTATGTTTGTCCTTACGCAATTTTCATACTTGATATTTACGTCATGTGACATATCATGTGACGGAGGCACCCCATTACACCAAGAGCAGTGACAATGAGATGCATATATAAGAACTAGGAATCTTGTTTTTATTTTTCAAGACCTCATCCTGTTTTGTTGCACTGTGTATCAAAACATGATAAATAACCCTATTTCGGCTTAAGGAGTGTGGAAATAGTACCCTCTTATAATTGCCACTTCATTCCAGTAGAAGGATCTTTTCAATTGTTGTTGGGTATCTCAACCATTCATTTTGATGACCATCGAAGCTGTTATTGACGCAGCCGTGGCTACGCCGCGTCACTTCCTCATCTTGAACAATGTGCAGAAGATCAAAAACATCAAGAACATGCTGGTGGGGGCTTCAGTATTCGGAGTGAAGGAGGTCTTTGTTGTTGGACAAAAGACGTTTGATCTGCAGGAACAAAAGCCTTTTCTGAGCTCACTGAGCTGCCAGGTCACGCGCATGGCCACGTTAAAAGTATGTAAAGCGCATTGCAAGGAGCGAGGCATTCGTATAATCGGAGTCGAGATCATGCAGAACGCTAGGAGTGTTGCTGGCCACCCATTTTGTGGTGACTCAGCTTTCATAATGGGCAACGAGGTGACCGATATAGTGGCAGCAAAAGTTTGGGTGTGAGCGTGCTATTCGATACTGAAGGCCGTTCTGATTTGTAGGGCAGTGGCATGAACTCGGCTCAAGTAGCGATTTGCGACGACTTCGTATTCATTCCGCAGTACGGAGGCGGCACAGCGTCGCTAAACGTAACAGTCGCGGCGTCGATCGTCTTGCAAAGCTTTGCTCTGTGGGCGAACTTGCCTGTGGCATCGTGAACGGATGTTCCTGCAGCCAAGTGGTATTCAAATGAAGAGATTTGATGTGCGAATCGACATGCTGTGAAGATGTGGGAGTACTCGTAGCATCAGGGCACATGATGTCAATTACTTCGACCTGATGATCAATCGAGCCCGTTTAATTGTGGTAGCATCGCGATGAGCATTAAAGAAGTTAAGGCGCTATGATCAACATCGAATTATTCGTATGAGAATGATAAGGCAAACACATGTATGCCATACACGTCATACTTGCTTTTTCTTTATTCATCGTGCGCGCATTAGGGAACCGCTGACAACGACCATACTGTACATCTCAGCGTCAGATTTCTTGTCACTATAAACCAGCATCCGTATATTGTTACCTCTAGCACAGCGTCCTTGCTAGGTCCTCCATGCTTGAAGAAACATCTAAATACATATTGAGCATTCCTGGTGCTCTGCTTTGCGTTTAGAAACTAAGGACTAAACAGGAGAATTTTGTTCAGTCCTAATCCTGACCTACACTCCACTTATACAGCAGCGAGGCCGGCGCAACTTACTCAAAGTCCGGTATCGAATTCGCGGTCATGAGTGTAAGTGCCGATAAAAGCGTCGCCAGGAAGCCTTACAATCTCTCTCACTTTCTTCCCTTGTTGTCACCTGTGAACAACAACTAAAGCAGAAGAGTCCGATAGAGGTGAGACTCAAGAGCACAGCTTATTAAACTTCACAATCTTTTAATAGGAAGGGTCGGAGAAAGTCACAACGTTCGCTCACCCATATAACCCCGTCCAATTGCAAATAGTACGCACTCTGAAAGCCGAGTCAATACAAACCGCTCCTAAAAGTACTTGAACAATACGCAAACATTACATACAAATAGTCTAAGGGGACTGACGAAACGGATTTCGTATCGGCCGCTTCAGGCACTCATTCCTAATGACGCTCTACCTTTCCACGCTTTTCTATTTTCTAAATAATGAAATTGGCGACGTATTTAGAACGACGTTGAATCGATTCAGAAATCATTTGATCCTAGACTTGACCATGCATGTGAAGAGGTCCACGTCCACGGCCGATCGTCGACGTCTCATGGCAAGTGATAGTGCAAGTGACTCGGACGCCTTGGACAGCAACCAGCGTCTGAATTGTAACGTGAAGGGGAGGAAACGCAAGAACGAGGAAGAGGAAGTGGCCAAGAAAGTCTCGCGAAAAACGAGTTCCAAGAAGGAGAAGGAGCTAAACTCTGTTTCAAAAGAGGGTGCAAAAAGCCAGAAAAACGCAGTTCACGCTCCAGATGCGGCATATACGGAGGAGCTGAAGCTCATTGCAATGGAGACTCGCCAATTGAATTTTGAAGTGGCCAAGTGGAAGCAGCAGCAGACGTTGAGACGCGAGCGGCTGCAGCTCAAGCGAGAAGAGATTCAGTATAAAGAGAAACTGACAAAGCAGCAGCTGCAGGTGCAGGTGATGGAGCTACGAGCGAGACTTGGGAAAGCGCTGGATGAGGCTGGACAGTCTCCAGCCCAGGCAAAGAAGTACCTTGCATTACTGAAGCAAAAGGAGGAAAGAGAGCGAGGGATTGAGTGAGTGAGCGACTTTACTGCAATAGACAGACTTGATGCTTTTAACGATCGTACTGTGTCGTGTATTTGCATGCCAATACCTCGCTCCTGCTGCTGCTGCTGCTTCTCACATGCTCTTTGCCATGAAGTCCTCGTAACTCTGACCAAACAACCTCTGGACGTCGCGCTGGATGTCGCTCTTGGATATCTTCCAGCCCGTTGCAAAAAGCTTCTCGTACATGTCCACCAAAACTTCGCCAATCACGTCGCGCGAGTGGCTCCACTTGTAAATGAGTTGGTCTAGCACACGCGCGTCCGAGTGCTGGCTCGTGAACGCCGTGCCCAGGATCTCGATACGCATCCGAGTGAGCTCTTCAATGATCGACGGGTTGTTGCAGTACCACCAGCAGCCATATAGGTGCAAGTTCCGAAACTTGTTGGCCGCCACCGTCACTTCGTGCTGGTTCACACGCGAAAGGAACGTGGCTAGAAACTTTACTTTGGGAAAGTTGCGGCACAGCTTGATCAAAACGTCCACGTTGCTGGGCTTCACGCCGTCACCGGCCACACCGTAGCGAGCGTTGATCGGACGCACGCTGTCAAACTTCAGCGCAATTGGCAGCTTCTTTTCTTCAGCTAGAGGCAGCAGCACTTGCAATAGCAACTCAGCACCATTTGGTTGCTCGTTCGCACCAGAAGTCGGCGCGTTCTCATCTGGGTACTCGAAGAAAATGGGCACGCTGGACATGAAGTACTCGGGCTTCATGATGTCGATCCACTTCTCCAGAAGCGCGCGTACACCCGCTAGTGTATGCGGTAGCATGAACACATCCAGCGTCGGACCGATGGACGTCCAGTCGCCAAGCAGGACCTGGTCCACGCGTAGAGCCGAACGGAAGTACTTGCGTGACCATGCAGGTGGTGGCGTGTTAGTGGCCGGATCGCCCAGCCAGTGCCGAGCCTCCTCCGGTTCAAATGGGATGTTTGTCATCACCGCATACTTGAGACCAGACAGGCGGAATACCATGTCCACGTACTCCTCGGCATCCTGATGCTTGAACCATTCTTGAATAGCAGACAGATCGCGTCTCGCCACGAGATGGTCCAGACCCAACAAGTGCAGCGTTGTCAGGACTCCACGGCAAGCTTCCGATACCGGAGAGCGGTCCACGAACAGGTGCTGCCAGATGAGACAAGCTTGCTGTTCTTTTGGGCACGAGTTGAACTCTTCCACTTGCATGGGCGCCGTCTGTAGGAACTCGGCCACGAGGTAGTGGTAGGTCAACAGCTCGTTGATGCCCCAGAGCATGAGTTTGCCGTGGCTAGGAGGGAACAGGTGCGTGTGCACGTCAATGATTTGGACGCTGGCAACGGCCTCGCGCACAAATGTCCCAACCTCGTCCTTCGTAGCGAGGTACTCACTAGTGTGGTGATTGCGAAGCACGTCCTCGAGGGTTTCGAGAGCAGTTTGCTTGCCGGACACGAGCCGCTGGTACAGAGCAGCAACGTCAGCAGCGAATGAAGCGTATGCGTCGTTCGTAAGATCAAATCCCTCGACTGAGTTTAGTACACTGGCAACTGCCACGCCAACACCGCTGGAAACCTCAGAGGAAGACTCTGCGCGAGCAGACTTGCGAAAGTCACGGCTACTGCTCTTGCTGGCTTCGAGCACATGCCGACTAGCTCGCCAGAGTAGTCGGGACACACGACCATTCTCGCCATCATCGAACTCATACTTGCCGGTAGAGAGGTTGGCGGTGAGACCTGCGTCGTAGGTCCAAGTTTTCTCAGTGGTCGAGAAGATTGGTGCGGTATTCTGGATAGAATCCATCTGGCCAACGAATATGCAGGGGTTGTCACGCTTAGAATCGGCTTGGCACGGCGTAAGGTACCGCAAAGCGGCTGCCGTTGCGAGCGCCATAAATTTACTTGGACGGTAGTTCTCGTCCTCGGCGATGTTGGTGTTCACCGAGTTCAGCAGACGCACGTAAATCCGAAGAAGCGCGTTCTGAGAGACCCAGAAAGTGTCCAGTCCGAAGTGCGGGTGCTTCATGCGCTCAATCCACTCAGCGTAAAACATACGAGCTTCGTTTTCAACCACACCACCAGCGATCAGTGCTGGCAGAATGTCCTTTTCGAACAGTGCGTCTAAATAACGGCTGATGATAGGAAACTCCTGAAACTGATTTGCCGTTCGTTGACGTGAAAGCGCAAGGAGATACACCATCGCTGAGTTTACAGCATTGCCCAGCGAAAACTTGAGCAGATAGTCCTTGGAAATTGCTTGCTCAACAGTGCGCACATGAACGCCAGGCACCTCCCGAAGATTCTCAGCATCCAGCACTCCCTTCAGATCTTCAATGACAATGGCTTTGGCTGGAAGCGGCTCCGTCAGAGGCACTAACAAGTCGTCCACACGGTGGTTGGTAATGCGGTCTACCATAGTATTGTGAAAGTGCACTTTGGCATCCAAGTACGCCCGGAACGCAAGGGCATTATCACCGTTGACCCAGTCAACTTCGAGTACAAGCTTCTTGATGTGGTCGCCATTTCTCGGGAAGTTGTCCGTGTTAATCACAGACAACACATTATCTAACAGTCCATGCAAACCAAAGGTAAGAAACAACCAACCAATGAACCACTCAACCAACCACGTCACACTAACATCTAGCACATGCAAGTACCAGGAATAGTTTCAAAGGCGCATTGCAAGAACTCCGCGAGGTCTTTAATGACCTGCGTATTCGAGCGCAGTCCAGCTTCCGTGACTCCAAAACCAATGTACTTGAGCTGGGGCAGCTTGGATGGAAGCTCCAGGAACGCCGCACGACCTTCTGGAACCCCTAACGAGCCAACTGCTGCTTGTGATACACATAGACACCACAAAGGCCATTGAATCAGCTTGATCCTCAACGTCCTTATTTTACGTCAAGCGCATGACGATCGCTACCTTCCAATTGGTAACTGGTCGTGTCCACGCGTCCATCCGGATGAATAATGTCCACTTGGTACGTCCCTTTGGTAGCGGTACAAGCCGTTGCGAAGCTTGAGCCCCGCGTCTGAGCCACTACAACACCCGAGTCAAGAGCTCGGAAGACGGGCACGAGCACCGCGCGCTAATGGAGTTGACACGTGCGCAGAAATCAGTACATTAGTGCCAAAACGACGTGTTCAACAGCTTGCTTTCTTGTACCAGGAACCGTCCGCTTCCGATGCAGACAGCGCGTGTATTACTGGGGAAAACTGGACCCTGGAGCGGTGCGAACATGTCGGTCTTTCAGATGGTGGAGAGATCTATCTGTCAAGGATGAGATGAATGAAGGGGTACGTTTTGCAACCATGGGGATAAAATGGGTACAATCGATCCGAAATGAGTGTTGATGAAATACCCTTAACTCTTGCAATACGCAAGCTTCAGTCGGTTTACGTGGATGTAGAAGGAGCAATGGACAAAAAGTACCAAAGTATACAGAAAAGTGGACCAGAACTTTTTCCGTACACAGTCTTCCCTCTGCTAAGTTATCCCTGGCTATGGAATAACCTCCGGTAAGTTATAGGATTCGGTCTCCACCGACCTCGTTCTATGGTGTCTACGGAATAAGTTATACGGAATAGCCTGAGGGCCAAATACAACTTATCAGAGGGAATATTTTTGTCCGCCGTGAGCAGAAATATTGTACGCAGAACCTTTTTTTGTTATTCACTGCAAGAAAGGAGTGGAAAGAGGAGAGGGAACTACTTCAGCCAGGAATCAAGTGTGGCCCGAGTGGTGCTCGCACTACGGAGATCAGCTTAAACTTGGCGAAGGGTCCGGTGAGCTATACGATGGGACTCCTGAGAAAGGTCGAGAAGGGCGATGGATGGACTAAGGCTGGCAAGCTTTAAAGCCTTCGAATGCTTTTCCACCTCCTCCTCCGCCTCAGCAGCACCTTCCTCCTCCTCATACGGATCCTTAACAAGCTTGATGATTTCGGCATCGGTCAGCTCCGCATGCGCCGTCTCCTCCTCCTCAGCCGAATTGAGAAGAGAAGCGATCGACTTGGGATTGCGGAGCGGGAGCCTTTCCAGCGCCGAAACAAGATTCTGTTCCACGCGCTGCTCCTCTACTGCAGCAGCTGCTGCCTCCTGCTGGGCCTGCTGGCCAACAGTGCCGGCTTCGTTTTCACCCCCACCAGTCGGCAGAGCCGGACCGTCCATGATTCCCGTATGATGGAAGCAGTTGGCGATTGTGGCACTGGAAATCTCGCTCCACGCAGCCAGCGACCAACGCATGGCTGTGAGCTGATCAACCTTGTAAAGGTTGGTTTCTCCGCGCTCGTCACGGTCCAAGGCATTCTGCAGATGCAGCCGGCGGTAGTGCCTCTTGAATGCGGCAATGATCCCAGCATCCATGGGTTGGACCTTTAAGGTCGCATTAGGAGGAAGAGCCTGGACCGTGATGTTGGTGAGTTCCAGGTCAGCAACAATGTGTGAAGGAGCGTTGTCCATGAGAAGCAGGATTTTTCTATCCTTTTGCTGTGGTCAACGCGTTAGTCAAACCTCCTTTACTGTACCACAACGATGATGTTCAAGGCATGCCCCAAATTACCTTCATACTTTTGTCGACGTCTCCCAGCCATTCCTGGAAGATTATGCCAGTCATCCAGGCTTTCTTGTTGTTGCGGTAGAGAAAGGTCAGTCGCTCAGCTGTCTTGCGCTCAAAACACCGCGGCTTTTTGGCGTGTCCAATGAAGACCGGCGGGAGTTTGTCGGATCCATCAGCGTTTGCCGTGAGAGCAACTGTGATGCGCGTCTAGAATAGTTGTTAGTGTCAGAGAAACGCAGGAAACCAAGAGGAGAGCAATAATGTACCTTGTCTTTTTTAAACCCTTCGACCTCTTGCTGGGCGATCGTTTTGTTGGGCGTCATACTGTAGAACAAACCTGAACAGAAAGTGAGCCTTTGAGATGCTTCTGTACTGTACAATGAGTACAGTACTGTACTGTATTTCCAGACCTACCAGTTTCGTCCATGTTGTACACGTCACGTGGCGCATAACCAGCAACCACGGCCTTGAGGTGTGGAAGAGCCTCCTCTAGAGCGCCCATATCTGCTGAGCCACTCTCGCCATGAATGCGGACAGCTCGCAGTTTGTGGCGTTGCTGAAATTTGTGGAGCCACCCATGCGAAAAGCTGATGTTTTCCTCCGAGACGCCCATTGATCCCGCAAAGGTCTGAGCCTTGGCCCGTATGAGATCTCCAGTGAGAGCGACCCCACGGTGCTGGCACTGCAAGACCCAGAAGGCGACGGCCTCCTCCACAGCTGGGTGCTGGACAGTCCGAGGACGCTTAGCGCTGAGGTCAGTGGTGTCCATTGCCTCAAGCTCCTTCCTTTTTTGATAATTTTGCTGATCGCTGCCTGGGAAAGTGCCTTCTGGAGGTCAAAGGCTTCCTTTGTCCAAGCCGCCAGGGCAGTCTGGGTGATGCGCGGGTTAGCATCCTGGTGCTTGCAGATGCGCAGCTTCTGCTCGTTGGTAAGACGTATCTGCGACATCTGTTGTGAGTGAGCAAGGTACAGTTGGTGGAACTTCTTAATTAGAGATAGCAAAATCACCAGAGACTGGTGGGGCAACCAAAATCACAAAATCTTCATAGGGCACGTGACACGTGACAGACAGGTTTTGGAAGCCTGGAGGTTTGTTGTGGTTTTGATTCTTTAATTAATTAAATTATTAATTTTTCCGCAGCATACCTCTGCTTTGGAATAACCTTTGCTATGTTATAGGATTTGCCTTCCACCAAGTCTATAACTTAGTAGAGGGAAGACTGTACTTTTCTAGTATGTCCACGACGTTGATTGATCACCCACTTCGATTTGAAGTACGAAACAATAATTACTGGATAGATAGAAGAGCAAGCCCTGAAGCTTACCTTTCGATTGCAGTAAGTCAGTCTATAGAAATGATTGAAGCTCTGTCTGTAGGTTAGCGTATCCATTTTTGGGCGATTGGCGGCTAGGGAATGGATTGTGCTGCGTGTGTTCACTGATGGAAGTATAGATGTACCTGCCATATTTGAGATAGGCGAGCAAGCTCTGGAGCTCGCCCTCTAATCTAGGGAATATAGCTCATAGAACTGAATGAGGTTGCAAAACACAATACAAAAGCAGCAGTCACTGAAGAAGATAATGATGTACATATCTGTATGGACCCAGTACAGCAAGGTTAGGGGCAACGCGATCGGCTTTTAGTTTAAAGCGTCCGGTAGTTAATAAAGTGATCATATTTACCTTTGATCGATGTTAAGCCTATCACGTTTGTGCTTTAAAAAAGTGACCTAGCAAAAGATTGACTTCGGATACACCAATACTTATGAAGGAATAGGCTAGATCGCACTTATAAACGTGAAAGGTACACCTAACCGCCTTTATAGACGTGCACACAGAGTGGTACAAACTAAAATTTCGGAATCTACCTTGCGCTCAGTCACTCATAAATTCACTCTTCGGGCTCGCAATAATGACCCATGGAGCAAAGATTTATCATAGTTAACTAAAGGATCAAATTCAAGAGGTGTGAACGCCCTGCAGTCATTTGTAGCCCTCAAAAATTACAAAGGAGCCCGGATTTGCGTTCAGCAGCTCCTTCCAGCACAATTGCACTTACAAAACAGCAATGCAGTTGCGACCAAAACCATTTGGAACCTGACGTACTCACTAAAATAGATATTTTGCAGTGGCATGACACAAACTGTAGCGAAGCTACTTAGCTCCCCTTAGCAAAGAAAGGCTTAGGCTCAAAGAGTTTCTCCGTAACAACAACTATTAACGAAGTTCAATCGTTCAAGCGCACGAGCTTAACAATCTTTGTTCCAAGGGGAGTACAATCCCCAAAATCATAGACTATTTAGTCACTACAAGCTTAGCAAGAGTAAACGCCTTCACATATTAACACCTTTACAACACGCTATGCCTTGACAAGCCACTAGCGTTCAACAACATAAAAGGGGGACTGAACTTAAATAATTCTTTTAGCTACGGTATAAAGCCCTAAACCCTTGTCTGACTGAATTCTACACTGCGATCTTTTGACAGAAGTCTGATATCATATCCTTACTCAATAAGGTGCGGTATTACCGAAAGAATGTGACACCGAGATTGGACTACTCAGATCCACCGATCTTTACTGGGTGTGGACACACTACATAACCGGTTCAATAGCCGCGTGTAAACTTGTTACACAAACGTCGCACTACACAGTTGCAGCTGGCAAACGCGAGTTTGGTCTCTACAAGGCGCCAGTTTTTAGAGGAGGTGACCGACATTCTTCGTGGTTGCCATTAGTTCTGTACGTAACGGACATCAAAATTAAGAGCAAGAGGACCTGAAACCTCTCAGGTCCCTGCAGTCAATTAGGCCCTTTCGAACTGGGTGCTGTAGTGTCAATCCAAGCGCATGATGCTGAGCGGTGATGTAATCAAGGCGAGAGCGATGCGGTTGCCATGTAGTGCGGTATACCATACGACCATCTGCCGTCTTATTCGATAGGGTAATTTACGACCATCCAGGGACGTTACGGCCATAATCAGTATATATTTCACGAAGGGAGCAGCTCCATAACTTGAAGCATACTGCTGCAGCGCAAAGACATCCAGGAGCTCCCGAAAAAAAATTCGCAAGCTGATATCTACAATACGGACGAAACGGGGAATTTAAATGCCTCGCGCCCGATAAGTCTATCGCCCTGCGTCATTTAAACTATTTGAAAAAGAAAAAACTCGCGTGACATTCGCGCTGATGTACAAGCAAACGACTCGGACAAAATCGAGCTGCTAATCCTTGGTCACGTAAAGAAGCCGCGCTGTTTTTAAAAATGACAAGGAGTCAGCTTGACTTCTACATCAGCAGCAACTACAAGACGTGGATGACAGGTGGCTTAAAGAAATTGGATAAGTGAGGTTGACAACGACGGGTGCACTCGAAATTTTAACATCGTTTTCATCACTGACGATGCATCGGTCCACACTGCTGAAGCTGTAACGGGGTGAATCGTTACATAACAATTTATAAGAAATTGTTAATAGAATATAACTATAAGAGTTACATTCTCAGAATATTATCGTAAGGACAAATATTCTGTAGCACTTACGAGTAGTTTTTAATTGGTTGATATAGGCTATTATATCAACCAACGAAGACGCGCCACGACAGACGAACGCAATGAGTGGTGAGCAGATAACTGATTTACACATTTGTATTTAGACATAGTTAGATGAAGATAAATAGTGATTTATTGCAGACATTAACTATGATAAATACAGTTCTACTTTTTACTTTAACCAAGTACTCGCTTCTTCTTACCGTCTTCCTCTGCACGTACGAGTGTACTTGAAGTTACGAGACACCGCCTCATTCTGTCATCAGAATAAGTAGCTTGTACTGTCACCAGTACAAGCTTCAGGGTGCCCCGTTACACCTGGTAGCACTTCGTAGTCCGTCCAAGGACCGCGTTCACATCTAACATGAATATGTTGGATGATGAAGATGACCAAAGCTTTCACGCTACGCGTGACGGCTACTCCCATTTGAGCGATGTCGAATGGGATGCGGTTGAACGAATGGGTTCGACCATGGGCATCCATGCTGTTAGCGTCATGCTAGAGGATCTCAATAGAGATGCCCAACATGCTACTATCGCCAAGTTCATTCAAAATGAACTTGACGCAGAACGCGAGAAAGTAGCCTTGCTTCACCAACAAGGTTCTCAACAAGCAGAGTTGCTGAGAGAACAGGGTGCTCAACAGTTTGAACTGTTGAGACAGCAGCAGGCTGCTGCTGGCGGGTCGATGCACTCGCGTCGACCCGAGACTTTGAAGATTGACATCTCCAAGTACAGGGGGGTCGAAGAAGACTTCCTCTTGAGATGGTTCGTCGAATTGGATGACGCCATAAGGGCGCGTCGCATCGACGACGGGGATATGCAAGTTGCATTTGCCCAGTCAAATCTGGCAGGACGTGCCAAGACTTGGGCACTGGGGCTCAAGTTGCACGACCCATATGCGTTTGGGTCGTTGGAAGTCTTCAAGTCGCGGCTCAGACAAACGTTTGAACCGCCTAGAGCTGAGTTCAGGGCTCGAACCGAACTCTTGAAGCTCAAGCAGGGTAAGCGTGATGTGCACGCTTACGCTCAACATATACGACATCTCACGAGTTGTATAAGTTCCAATCCGGTGGATGAACACACGTTGGTTTCGGTGTTCATGCAGGGTCTTGCGGATGGTCCCGTCAAGACTCACCTGTTCCGGCTTGAACTAGATTCACTAGAACAAGCCATTTCCATTGCGGAGCAGGAAGACTTCAGTCTGAGACAGGCTCGCGCCAGCTCGACGTCATATCGTCAACCGAGACGACATGACAGCGGAGGTCCAGAGCCGATGGAACTCTGTTATGTAGAGAGCGAGAAGGCTCGCTCTACAGACTACAAGAAGTTGCAAAAATGCAGCAGATGTCAAAAGACAGGACACTACGCTTACGAGTGTAGTGCCCCTCGTCCAGTGTCTCGCGACACTGGGCGTAGTGACCGTCCACCCATGAGAAAGGGGCAGGGACGAGGGTCCGCAGTTGGTGCAAAGACGCAACAACTTGATGGACCGTCAAAAAACGGACAGGATCAGTAGGTGCGGAGCACCCTACTGGTCTAGCAACGTCAAGAGAATTTGTAGGCCTCTTGATGAAGGTTGCTCCCAACACACAAACGTTGTGCGTTGCTGCTCTAGGTAATGAGGTCTCGCTCATTACCTTGAAACTCGAAGTGACGAATAAGTTGTCCCGTCGAGCTCTAGTCGATTGTGGGGCGTCCAACAATTTTGTGCGACGCCAATCGCTAGAAGATGTTCACTTTAAATTCAGTGAATGTGACACACCTCCTACGAGGATGACGGTACGTCTTGCGACAGGCGCATCCGTAACCGTCATGAAGCGTATAGTGAAGATCCACTGTACGCTAGAAGATACCCAATACGATGATGACTCTATCGTATTGGATTTGGATGACAAATTTGATATCATCCTTGGAATACCGTGGCTCAGAAGGTACGAACCACGAGTAAACTGGCAACATCGAACAGTAACGATGCCTGCCGCTTGTTCATCAGATGGCCATCTGATGAACCTTTTGGAGCGTCCACAAGCGTGTGGATGTACTACGAGTGAGTGCGATGGCCTCACTTGTGGTACGGTCGTTAGTACAACTGCACGAAACCTTATTGTAACAAATAGTTACACTTCGGAGCAAAGTTACGGCGGCTGTGAGGAAATACAGGCTGCGCCGAAGGTCCACCACTCGAATAAGTCGAGTGGACCGGGACAAAGATGTAT